CTACAGAACTACCACTCCACTACACAACTACCACTCCACGACAGAACTACCACTCCACGACAGAACTACCACTCCACGACAGAACTACCTCTCCACTACAGAACTACCACTCCACTACAGAACTACCACTCCACTACATAACTATCACTCCACGACAGAACTATCACTCCACTACACAACTACCACTCCACTACACAACTATCACTCCACGATAGAACTACCACTCCACTACAGAACTACCACTCCACTGAAAAACTACGACTCCAATAAAGAACTACCACTCCCCTACAGAACTACCACTCCACTATAGAACTACCACTCCACTTCAGAACTACCACTCCACTACACAACTACCACTCCACGACAGAACTACCACTCCACGACAGAACTACCTCTCCACTACAGAACTACCACTCCACTACAGAACTTTCACTCCACTACAGAACTACCACTCCACTTCAGAACTACCACTCCACTAAAGAACTACCACTCCACTAAAGAACTACCACTCCACTACAGAACTACCACTCCACTACACAACTACCACTCCACGACAGAACTACCACTCAACGAAAGAACTACCACTCCACTACAGAACTACCACTCCACTACAGAACTTTCACTCCACTACAGAACTACCACTCCACAACAGAACTACCACTCCACTACATAACTATCACTCCACGACAGAACTATCACTCCACTACACAACTACCACTCCACGACAGAACTATCACTCCACTACACAACTACCACTCCACTACACAACTACCACTCCACGACAGAATTACCACTCCACTACAGAACTACCACTCCACGACAGAACTACCACTCCACTAAAGAACTACCACTCCACTACAGAACTACCACTCCACTACAGAACTACCACTCCACTACAGAACTACCACTCCACTGAAGAACTACCACTCCACTAAAGAACTACCACTCCACTACAGAACTACCACTCCACTACACAACTACCATTCCACGACAGAACTACCACTCCACTACAGAACTACCACTCCACTACAGAACTACAACTCCACTACACAACTACCACTCCACGACAGAACTACCACTCCACTGAAGAACTACCACTCCACTAAAGAACTACTACTCCACTACAGAACTACTACTCCACTACAGACTTTCACTCCACTACAGAACTACCGCTCCACTACAGACTTTCACTCCACGACAGAACTATAACTCTGCGAGAGAACAATCACTCCACTAGCGAACTACCGATCCATGACAGAACTATCACTCCAAGACTAAACTATCAGTCCACGACAGAACTACCACTCCAAGACCGAACTACCGCTCAATGACAGAATTACCACTCAAACACCGAACAATCACTCCACGACAGAACTACCACTCCAAGACCGAACTACCGCTCCATGACAGAACTACCACTCCAAGACCGAACTATCACTCAAAGACTTAACTATCAGTCCGTGACAGAACTATCACTCTAAGAGGAACTATCACTCAAAGACCAAACTATCATTCCAAGACCAAACAATCACTCCACGACAGAACTACCACTCCAAGACTGAACTACCACTCAATGACAGAACTACCGCTCCAAGACCGAACTATCACTCCTAGAATAAACTATCAATCCATGATAGAACAATCACTCAAACATCGAACAATCACTCCACGACAGAACTACCACTCCAAGACCGAACTATCACTCAAAGACCAAACTATCATTCCAAGACCGAACAATTACTCCAAGACCGAACTATCACTCAAAGACCAAACTATCATTCCAAGACCGAACAATCACTCCACAACAGAACTATCACTCCAAGACAGAACAATCACTCCAAGACCAAACAATCACTCCAAGACTGAACTATCACTCCAAGACCATACTATCACTCAAAGACCGAACCATCACTCCAAACCCGAACAATCACCCCAAGTCCGAACAATCACTACAAGACCGAACTATCACTCCAAGACCGAACGATCACTCGACGACAGAACTATCACTCCACAACAGAACTGTCACTCCACGACAGAACTATTACTCCAAGGCAGAACTATCACTCCAAGACCGGACAATCACTCCACGACAGAATTACTACTCCAAGACCGAACTATCACTCCAAGACCGAACCATCAATCCAAGACCGAAGAATCATAGGTCAATCACTACACAACCTAATTATCACAGGTCGACAATAGCATGACAGCATGACAGAACAATCACATGTCAAACCATTTCACGAAAGAAAAAACAATCCATGAATATCACATGTCAAAAATTTGACGAAAGCACATTTACTTCACGACAACAAAACCACAGGCAAATGACTCCACTACATAGCGATCACTTCACCACAGAACAATGATAGGTCAATCACGCCATGACAGAACAATCACTTCACTGCAATTAACTCCTCAATCAACGCGGTCAGTGGGTCAGTGCATGTAATGTCATGACGTTACCTGCCATCCACCAGGTTGAAATGGACGTTTATTCACACACGAAATTGTCTGAGTTGTCACAGGTCGAGTTTTAACCCCTTGACAGTGTAAGCGGGAAGGTGAAAAGTCAAAATTAGTTGATTAGTGTGTAGGCCTTTGGCCCATACACAGGAAATGCAATTGAATTAATATATAGTTGGAAAATTTCCAATACAATTCTGGCAAATTAACTTGACGTAGTTCAATATAATGTTTGCAAATCAATACGAAATGATATTCATCTTCAGACATATTGCCAACAGGACTGATGCGTAAACATGATTCAATAGATTGTCATCTACCCGTTCTGTCGTAAAGGTAAAACATTACATCAAAATTTGATAAAAACACTGCGTACGTTTACTGTTGTAAATACTCAAATATCTTTCAGGAGCAAACAGTGTTTTATATTCTTTATACATCACATATCGGGTACTATTGTTGAGTGTTGACATCCAGTTTTGATGCAATTCATCTTTAATACCCCAATGAAAGTCATATTGTCCCCAACAGACTGGTTTAACCGTACACATCCCACACCATGCGAAAATAACATGTTACGAACAGATGCTACCCAAATATTATGACCAATGTTGTCGGAATACATCAATATGTTATATACTTTTCTTGGGATACGCCCTTAGTGCTTTCTGGTTAATTTTAACCAAATCTGTATGATGCGGACTTGCGCATTAACATAAAGCAGGTAGCGACAAGATTCACCGTAGACAATGGCATTTAGCGTTTGTTTTCCGACTCTAACGTGCCAAAATATGGACTCGTTCTAATTGATCATACTTCTGGTAACCCCATATTTCTGACCCATATAAAAGTATTGGTAATACCCGTGTATCAAATATTTAAAAATATATTTTTGAATCAACAATTCCTATTTTATTCAAATTTATATTTATTTCCATCAAAGCTCGTTTTCCATGACTTGCTAAATCTTGAAAGTTGAAGAAAATATTATACCCAAGTACTTGTGACTGTTAACTATGGGCAGGGGGATGTCTTAGTATGTCCATTTCTCCTTGGAAGATAGAATGCCTCCCCTTTTTCTTTTCATCCCTACGTTTGATTTTTGTATGTCAACTTTTAATCCCCATGTATCTGAAACCCCCCAATGATGTTGAGCTGGGTCTGTAAACCCGCAATAGATTCTGAGACAAAGATGACGTCATCTGTAAATAACAGTAACAAAATTTCATAAATATCTGGTAATAATTGTATGCCATGTTTACCATGTTCATGTATAACTTTTGATAGTTCTCCTATAAATAGAGAAAATAGCAAAGGGCAAAGTATACAACCTTGGCGTTCATCATTTGGATAGTCAAAGAAATCGGTATATGAGGAAGCTTGTCTGACACAAGATTTAACAGAATCTGATAACATTTTTCCACCCAGGCCATAACATTGCAAACAGTACCATATTTATTTTGTCCTTTAGTTCTGAACAAGCGGAAAGTCTGTTATCAAGAACACCCGTATATATCTTGCTTATAACACTTAATAATGAAATTCGCCTGTAGTTGTCTTCAATCTTCGTATCTCCATTCTTATGTACCGTACTATAATAAACTGGGTCCAAACTGCAGGAAATATACCAGAGTTGTAGATCTTATTAAAAAGGCAAATAAAAAATGGCATTTCACTGTCTGATGTACATTTTAAGATTTCAATCATACGATTTAAATGCAGATAGCTTATATTGACAGAATGTTCCGATGATCATCAATAGTATTGAAATTATGTATCTAGTATTAGCCCCACGGCACGTTTGAACAGGGATTAAAAGTATTTGACTAATTTAAACTGTACAAACACAACACTAAACTATTTCCTGAACCATATGGGGGCACGGATGGTCCAGCCGTCTGAAGCACAACAATTGAGGTTCGAATCCCATATTCGCCCCGATTATGTTTCTGGGCTTGTCAGCAAAATATCCGAGCTCGTGGGTTTCACCAAAGTGGTAAACGTCTGAGACCTGCGTCACTTCAGGCTTTCTTCCCACATCAAACTGACACGCCGTGATACTGTTTGAAGACTGTTGTTCAAAGCGACCTTAAACTCAATTCACTCACTCACTCCCATTAACGACTTACTAACAGATGGTGCTTTTCTGTACAAGTATTCTCCACAAACAGCATCCTTTGTGACAATCGGAAATAAATACGTCTTGCATTTGATTGATTGATTGATTGTTGATGAACGCCGCACACAGCAATATTCCAGCTATATGACGGCGGTCTGTAAAGAATCGAGTCGGGACCAGACCATCCAGTGATTAATATCATGAGCATCGATCCACGCAATTGGGATTGATGACATGCGTCAACCAAGTCAGTGAGCCTGACCACCCGATCCCGTTAGTCGCCTCTTACGATAATCATAGTCGCCTTTTACGGCAAGTATGGGTTGCTGAAGAGCGAATTAGCTGTTGGATGGGGCAGTATATATGGACTGGCGTGTTTCACAAAAGTTAATCATTCGGTTTCGATCTTTTACAGCTTTGGCTCTGAACACTGCAAATGCACTCCAGAACAGAAACAACTCTAAACGAGCTCTCAGGTAAGTATTCACATATCACATGCTATATAGCTTTGTAAAGTTTGGAATGTTGCCCTATAAAGACGATCGAAACGTCCCAAGTCATTTTGGATGGTTCAGTAGACATATAAGCAATTTTCTGCGTTCCTAGCAAACGATGACCCGTGGTGATTCCATATTAGTTTTGTTTGTTTGTTGTTTAACGCCGCACTTAGCAATATTCCAGCTATATGAGGGCAGTCTGTAAATAATCGAGTCTGGACCAGACAATCCAGTGATTGACATCATGAGCATCGAGATTGGGATCGACGACATGCATCAACGAAGTCAGCGAGCCTGACCACCCGATCCCGTTAGTCGCCTCTTGCGACAAGCATAGTCACCTTTTACCGCAAACATGGGTTGCTGAAGACCTATTCTACCCCGGGTCTTCACGGGTCTAAAGATTATGGAAGTCAATAGGGTAGCATAGTGGCTAAGATGGCTGAAGACCTATTCTACCCCAGATCTTTACGAAAAAGCATTTCTTGTTTAACTTACAGCCCCGAGTTTCAACGTCTCGAGGCAGACATACACGGAGTTATTGATAAGGCTGGAGATGATCTGAAACGTGTGATTACCTGGGCTGAAGGCAAAGTCAGTGGCATCCTTGTACAAGGCGTTAAAGGAACCATTACACCGGACGAGGCTCTCACAAAACTGAAGAGTATTGTAGGTACGTTTGCAGATATGTCATCAAGCTATGAGTGAGTGAGTATGGTTTTTACGCCGCTTTTAGCAATTTTCCAGCAATATCGCGGCGGGGGACACCAGAAATGGGCTTCACACAGTGTACCCATGTCGGGAATCGAACCCGGGTCTTCGGCGTGACGAGCGAACGCTTTAACCACTAAGCTACCCGACCGCCCCTCATCAAGCGATGAACTACGGGTCCAGGAGCTATCCATGGCTGTCACCCCTTTCTTTTATGATAATTATTCTAGACCATTTGCCACCGTTGCCTCGGGTTCGAATGACACGACGCTGTTAAAATAGTTATCCAGTCACTTTTCACTGTTTTGTTCAATCTCATTAAAAGCACATCTTGGTTCTCACTACTGCTGAACAAAGATCTGAGGACATCCCATTAGGGACGACCTTTCATCCAACCAATCAGAGTATCACTTACCAGATCATGAAAGTGACAGTCCGAATGTGATTTCTAATCATGCAGCCTCGAAAACTTTAAGACGGGGTATTCCGAACGATAGTTACGGGCTTAACGACTGAATCTATGCAATCTAGACCATCTATTAGCCATTCGAGAATGTTCTTTTGTTCAGGTTTCAATTTTTTAAGGGAGAATTTGTCAAAATATGTTTCGAAGCGTAGTCGCCAATTTGCCTTCTGATTGGCTAATATCGACTTCTTGTCAGTAATTCCATTGGTCGGTCAGAGTTCGAGAAAGGTCGGTCTGACGTGAACCGTAATGGGATGTCCTCAGATCTTTGTTTAGCGGCAGCGAGAAATAAGATCTGATTTCGATGAGATTGCTGTTTTGTTTTGACTGAAACAAGCGGCGACATTATTATCCTCATTTTAATTGAAGCATCAGACACATGTTCATAATCATATGATACGAGTCTGACTTAACTGACAGTCAAAAGAATGTTTGCACTTGGAAATTGGATTTGACCAAACAATTAGAAACTTTATCCAAACATTACCAGGTTGTAAGCAGTCGCCGAAACACTGCAAACATTAGGTCCAAACACATCAATGATACTAATATCAAATACATGGTTGGTTGGTTGGTTTAACGCCGCACTCAGTAATATTCCAGCTATATGACGGCGGTCTGTAAATAATCGAGTCTGGACTAGACAATCCAGTGATTGATATTATGAGCATCGATCCACGCAATTAGGATCGATGACATGAATCGACCAAGTCAGCGAGCCTCACCACCCGATCCTGTTAGTAATACGTTACCGCCGAATACCCATTTCTTGTTTGTTTTTAACCACCAACATGGGTGTATACTTTCTCTTGCCCGACGGTTTATATCATAAGCATGTGTTTTTTTATGTAGTCGGAAGAGCCTTTTTTTCGGAGATCTGTTTTTATTGTGGAAATGATTGTGTGGCTTTTATTTTCGACTCGATATCAAATACTAGTGATAACATGTCTTCGCGGAAGGAGAACCGCCTACAAGTACCATTGAGAACTGATTCCCTCCATGTATGTGTGTATGTATGTATGTACACAAGACTGAGCACCCGTGAAGATCCGGGGTAGAATAGGTCTTCAGCCACCCACGCTTGCCGTAAAAGGCGACTTTGCTTGTCGTATCCCAATTGCGTGGATCGATGCTCATGATATCATTTACAGACCGCCGTCATATTCCTGAGTGCGGCGTAAAACAACAAACAAACAAACCAAGACTAAGAGTTTCAACTTTGTGTAAAGTAAATTTTAACTGTTGAACATTGTCATTGCAACAATAATTTACAATAGTACATTCCGTCGTGCAGATTTAGAAACATTGTAGAAATGTTTCATATTTGTTAATACTTTGTGATTATTTATACATACACTATTAATAACATTGCTGACAGCAACTTATATTAAGATGCTGATTTTGTAAGTGTAAACAACGTATCCAGGTGAGCTACAGTTCCATGACACTATATCTGTACATTGCTAGGTATGCACAATACGGCAGCCGGTGCTTTCGAGAAACTGGTTCTGGAAGGAGTTGAGGGTTTGACGAGTTCCATGACACTATATCTGTACATTGCTAGGTATGCACAATACGGCGGCCGGTGCTTTCGAGAAACTGGTTCTGGAAGGAGTTGAGGGTTTGACGAGCTCCATGACACTATATCTGTACATTGCTAGGTATGCACAATACGGCAGCCGGTGCTTTCGAGAAAATGGTTCTGGAAGGAGTTGAGGGTTTGACGAGTTCCATGACACTATATCTGTACATTGCTAGGTATGCACAATACGGCGGCCGGTGCTCTCGAGAAACTGGTTCTGGAAGGAGTTGAGGGTTTGACGAGCTCCATGACACTATATCTGTACATTGCTAGGTATGCACAATACGGCGGCCGGTGCTTTCGAGAAACTGGTTCTGGAAGGAGTTGAGGGTTTGACGAGCTCCATGACACTATATCTGTACATTGCTAGGTATGCACAATACGGCGGCCGGTGCTCTCGAGAAACTGGTTCTGGAAGGAGTTGAGGGTTTGACGAGCTCCATGACACTATATCTGTACATTGCTAGGTATGCACAATACGGCGGCCGGTGCTTTCGAGAAACTGGTTCTGGAAGGAGTTGAGGGTTTGACGAGCTCCATGACACTATATCTGTACATTGCTAGGTATGCACAATACGGCGGCCGGTGCTCTCGAGAAACTGGTTCTGGAAGGAGTTGAGGGTTTGACGATCTCCATGACACTATATCTGTACATTGCTAGGTATGCACAATACGGCGGCCGGTGCTTTCGAGAAACTGGTTCTGGAAGGAGTTGAGGGTTTGACAAGTTCCATGACGAAGGATCACAAAAGCTTCTTGTCTGCACCTTTCAAGGCCCACTTGGAGTCTCTCACTCGTAGCATCACAGAGGTGAGTGGAGTTGTCAGAATCAGCTTCATGGTTAAACATGATCATTCTGAAATTGCTGGGTTATTTCGGAATGTCTAATTCCCAAATTGGACTTTATATATATTTATCCATATTTCAGTGACAGGTCGTGTATAATTACGTAATGATCACTAATGTTTTTTTCGTTTTGTTTGTTGTTTAACGCCGCACTCAGCAGTATTCCAGCTATATGACGGCGGTCTGTAAATTATCAAGTCTGGACCAGACATTCAAGTGATTGACAACATGAGCATCAATCAACGCAATTGGGATCGATGACATGCATCCACCAAGTCAGCGAGCCTGACCACCCGATTCCGTTAGTCGCCTCTTACGACAAGCATTGGTTGCTGAAGACCTATTCTAACCCGGATCTTCACGGGTCTGATCACAAATGACACAAATATGATTTTACATGTATGAACAAACCGATTGCTTGTGTAAAGATTGGTGGGTTTTATAACGTGTTTACCAGCCCATTCCTGATTCCGGTCGGGTTGCCTAGTGGTTAAAGCGTTCGCCCGTCACGCCGAAGACCCGGGTTCGATTCCCCACATAAGTACAATGTGTAAAAGCCCATTTCTGGTGTCCCCCGCCGTGATATTGCTAGAATATTACTTAAAGCGGCGTACAAACTCACACACACTAGATGACATGAAGTCGTTTGATAAAACGAATCTCACGACACAGGATATCAGTCACTGCATTAGCTGCGCTTAAATGCGTCAAATTACCATGACAGATGCTCGAATATTTATTTAAATTTGACTAAACCATACTTTTTTTGTCACATAAATGATAACTGTCGACGAAGCTCCCCATATTAGGATTTCCTCGACCCGTGAAGATCCGGGTCAGAAAAGATCTTCAGCAACCCATGCTTGCCGGAAAAGGCGACTATACTTGTCGTGAAAGGCGACTGACGGGATCGGGTGGTCAGGCTTGCAGACTTGGTTGATGCATGTCATCTTATTCCAACTGCGTGGATCGATGCTCATGATGTCAATCACTGGATTGTCTGGTCGAGACTCGATTATTTACAGGCCGCCGTCATATATGTGGAATTTTGCTGAGTGTGGCGTTAAACAACATTGTTTGGTTTGATTACTATTCTATTAATAGTAAGCCAATGCCTTCACTTATTAAAGTTTTATTTGTTTCAGCATATGCTAAGCATAATGAAGTCCTTCGAGCAGCAGCAAGTGTAAACAAATCAAACTGTGAGGTATGAGGAACTCGACAGTCAAACTTTATGCTTGCAATCTCATTAAAATGAGATCTTAGTTCTCGCTACCACTAAACTAAGATCTGAGGACATCCCATTACAGGTCACGTCAGACCGACCTTGCGTGAACTTTGACCGACCATTGGAATGACCAATCAGAAGGCAGTTTTCTCGTGCTTTGTGACACTAATTTCAAATTTGCGACTTCGCTTCGGAACATATTTTGACAAATTCTCATTTACAAATTTGAAACCTGAACAAAAAAAACCAGTTCTGGAATGGCTAATAGATGGTCTAGATTGTAAGGATTCAGTCGTTAAACCCGTAACTATCGTTCGGAATACCCAATGTTAAAGTTTTCGGGGTTGCATGAATAGAAATCACATTTCGACTGTCGCTTTCATAATCTGGTAAGCGATGCTCTGATTGGTCGGATGAAAGGTCGTTCTGACGTGACCCCTAATGGGATGTCTTCAGATCTTTGTTTAGCGGTATCGAAAATAAGGTCTGATTTTAATGAGATTGTTTATGCTTGTTACCTGGAGATTGTAACACAGTCACTGTATTGTGAAACATAGCCGAACATCATGTATGAGCTCTTAGGGAAATTAATTACAAGCCAAATTCACTCATATGCAACAGAGACATGATGTTCCTCCACAATTTTCGTTAACCTGTGAAATTTGCTGCACCGATGTATGCAAGCTGTTCTTTTCATACTTCGTCTATAGGATAATGCTCCTTTGGTTCAAATCTGAAGATTCCGGGATAGAATAGGTCTTCAGCAACCCGTGCTTGCCGTAAACGGTGACTATGCTTGTCGTAACAGGCGACTAACGGGATCGGGTGGTCAGGCTCACTGACTTGGTTGACGCATGTCATCAATCCCAATTGCGTGGATCGATGTTCGTGATATTAATCACTGGGTTGTCTGGTCCAGACTCGATTATTTACAGACCGCCGTCATATAGCTGGAATATTGCTGAGTGCGGCGTTAAACAACAAACCAACAACAAACCAAAATCAAATCTACTAGTCAGAGTGTTTTTCCGTCCATGGTGCAATTTGTCTCCACTCAATTTGTTCTTTTCAACATTTATAATCGTTTTATTTCAGAGTAATGGAATATTAATTGTCAGTGCAAGACAATAACCAGCCTACATTTTCTCTCGAAACAGATTCTACTTGGCGTCACATTAACAAGAATATCCGGGATCCTAGAGGCCGCTATTATAAAATGTTTTTTTCCTCATCACAAGACAATATCAAATTGTATAAATGAATGACTATTAATTTGAATAAAAGATAGCTACATTTTGCTTGAGCGTTTAGAATTCAACTTACGAATATACAAGTGTTCAGTCACATCCACAGGAAACAACTTGTGTCATGAGTGAGTGAGTGAGTTGGGTTTAACGCCGCTCTTAACAGTATTCCAGTTATATCGCGGCGTGTCAGCTGAATGTTGGAGGAAAGCGAGAACGGGTATGGTGCTGACAAACCTAGAAACATAATCGGAGCGAACCGGGATTCGAACCCACAATCATAGGTTTCTGGCGTGCCCAAGGAACGCAACTCTGCACAGCGAATCGCGCCGCCTCAGACGACTGGGCCACCCGTGCCCCCTTATCTTGCATAGACATACATTCTTTTTTACAGATTTAACAACCAACCTCCCAATATCATTAATGTTTTATGTAGCTTTACGAGTTTAACACATTTAACACTGACTGATAACGACAAACAGAATGGTACCAACACGGTGCCTATGTCCACAGTAAGTTACGTAGATGCTAGGGGTTCTTCATGGGCAATAGAAGTTGAAAGCCAGGTAGTTTCATTTGGTTTTGAAAGTTAAAAGCTGGGTAGTTTGATTTGGTTTTGAAAGTTGAAAGCCAGGTAGTTTGATCTGGTTTTGAAAGTTGAAAGCCAGGTAGTTTGATCTGGTTTTGAAAGTTGAAAGCCAGGTAGTTTGATCTGGTTTTGAAAGTTGAAAGCTAGGTAGTTTGATTTGGTTTTGAAAGTTGAAAGCCAGGTAGTTTGATCTGGTTTTGAAAGTTGAAAGCCAGGTTGTTTGATCTGGTTTTGAAAGTTGAAAGCCAGGTAGTTTGATCTGGTTTTGAAAGTTGAAAGCCAGGTAGTTTGATCTGGTTTTGAAAGTTGAAAGCTGGGTAGTTTGATTTGGTTTTGAAAGTTGAAAGCCAGGTAGTTTGATCTGGCTTTGAAAGTTGAAAGCTAGGTAGTTTGATCTGGTTTTGAAAGTTGAAAGCTAGGTAGATGCATCTGTAGTTTCATCTGGTTTTGGTAGGCATGGACTTCGCCAAACCGAAGATAATGATATCTGACTGGAAATACTCGGTGGTATTCTGGACATAAACATTTCCAGAATTAGGAATAACTGCTTGCTTCTGTTTATGAATGTACTTGCATTATATTTACTTTCTAATCCTGCATGAAAATATTGACCCAAGACTCTCGACGATATGTTACCTAAGGATTGTCTGGTCCAGACTCGATTATTTACCGACCGCCGCCGTACAGCTGGAATAATACTGAGTGCGGCGCTAAACAACAAGCAAACAAACAAACACGGTGTACACTCAGACAACAAGAAGATAATATTCAATCATTTATCTGCTGAAACCAAATAGGTTCTTTATTTGATCACAGTATGATTGTGATAGACACACTGTGTCTTTAGTGAAGAGTTATGGTACCTTTACATCAAATTTTGACAATAATATTTGGAGTAATATAGTGAGTGGGTATGGTTTTACACCGCTTTTAGCAATATTCCAGCAATACCACGGCGGGCAGGTAATATACCTCTAAAACTAGTAGAATAGCTATAAAACTAGAGACCGCCTCCGTGGTCGGCCCGGTGAGCGGACGGTCGTGGGTTCGAACCCAGGCCGCGTCATATAAAATATGTTCAAAACTATTTTATCCTGCATGGCCCTCTGCTCAAGGACTGGTCGGCTCGGGATAGTGGGATATGCATGTTAAACTGCGGCGTGGTATCTAAGTGGGCTAGCACTATAAACTCCGGACAATATTCCGGACTAGCACAAGCTGATACTCACACGCACGCAAGTGCAATAATCTTGAACGCGACGTTAAACCCCATTTCATCTCACTACACCTGAAACTACAGTTTGTCTTTTACCGAAATGATAAATATTGCTGTGAAAACTGTTCCAATAGCAATAAACCCTAGGGTAGTTGGAAAATGTTCACTCCATATTTGATTTAACTACATTATAAGAAAATGTTCAATGACATAGAACAACAGGCTAGGTGATCTCATCCAACACGCACACACGAATCCTGACTATTAACATTATCAAAACTGTTTCTCAGATGCATTATATGAACACATTCAATTCAATATATCCAAAAAACGTTAACAGTTAGTACTTGTTGTTACCTGCTTGGCGCGCAGATTTAGGGAATAAACCTAGGACTGGTCGGCTCGGTGTCTGCAGACTGTGTGAGAGTATCCATCTGCGGCGTGGTATTATAAAACCGGCATTAGTCCGGACGAATGCAGACACACACGCACGCATACACACACACGCATGAACGCACACACGCACGCATACACACACACACACACACACACGCATGAACGCACACACACGTACACACACACACACACACAGACACACACACACGTCCTTTTATTATCTTCAACAAACCTCATTAAACATCCTCTCCTCTATTGATGTTGTTTTGGGGGCAGTGTAGTAGCCTAGTGGTTAAAGCGTTCGCTCGTCACGCCGAAGACCCGGGTTCGATTCCTCACATGGGTACAATGTGTGTCTCCTGCCGTGATATTGCTGGAATATTGCTCAAAGCGGCGCAAAACACAACTCGCTGATATAGTTTTGTCACACAGAACGCAGAAAAGAGCCCAACCCAGCACACACACACACGCACGCACGCACGCACGCACACGCACGCACGCACGCACGCACACACACACGCACGCGCGCACACGCACACACACACACTCTCTCTCTCACACACACACAGACACACACACACACACTCTCTCTCTCTCTCTCACACACACACACACAGACACACACACACACACTCACACTCACACACACAGAGGGATTTACCCATGAATTAATGTATCTCCTGTTTACTACACCAAGGGGCAACACGAAAGTTCAAGCAATGGTAACTGTAAGTGCCATGTCAAAATGTGTGACTGTTGTTCTATCTTATCAGCTACTATGTAGGATACAAAATGTTGTTTCACATGATATAAGGAGAAAGGCTGTAGGTGTTTTAGTACAGGTTGATGCGGTAGTTGAATATGTGGTGGATCAGGACAATGATGGATATTTCATGTTCTTAATAAACGTTATGATTGATCGGTTGGTTGGTTTGTTGTTTAACGCCGCACTCAGCAATATTCAAGCTATATGACAGCGGTCTGAAAATAATGGAGTCTGGACCAGACAATCCAGTGATTGACATCATGAGCATCGATCTACGCAATTGGGATGCAATGACATGCAGCAACAAAGTCAGCGAGTCTGACCACCCGTTCCAGTTAGTCATCTCTTACGACAAGCATGGGTTGCCTCCTCTCTCATACCCGTTGAGATCCGGGGTAGAATATTTCTTCAGCAACCCATGCTTGCCTAAAAGGCGACCACGCTTGTCGCGAGAGGCGACTAACGGGATCGGGTGGTCAGGCTCGCTGACTTGGTTGATGCATGTCATCGATTCCAATTGCGTGGATCGATGCTCATGCTATCAATCACTGGACTGGTCCACACTCGATTATTTACAGACCACCGTCACATAGCTGGAATATGTCCGAGTGTGGCGTTAAACAACAAACAAACAAAACAAAGTCTATACTAACCGGATCTTCACGGGACGTTTAGCATGTAGTGCACCTTGATCATGTTAGAGCATCATATATTATCACAGTTGTGATATACATTAATGATATCAAATGAATGTATTCATACAACGCTAAACACGACACGAAAACATCCACATTTGAATATTAAACATACTGCAACAAATGCCCCAATAAAACAATGGAATCTGCCATATGATTAATTCCATAATGGACTCGCCTGTCAAGTGACCTTTAGTATAAGGGCAATCGAAGCGACTTAAAAACTAGTTCATGCTCACTTTAGGAGGAAGGTACCATGTTTTTGTTCGTCATATTTTGTTGTCTTATACTGCCGCCGTCATGTCCCGGGTTGCTGTTATCTTTAACAAAACCAGATGGCAGCATTGACACGCCAATGCTCCTACAACATATCAGTGTGCTGGAGAAATCCGTTGCCAGCCTCAAAGCCACTACAGCCGGCCTGCAATCAGAGTTAGATGTAACCAAGAAGGACCTCCAGGCAACTCAAAACGAGCTGCAAGTCACAAAAAGTGATCTGCAGACAACCCAAACAGAACTTCAGATGAGCAATGCTGCACACAATAACAGTATGTATAAGTTGTTGGTTTGTTGTTTTACGCCGCACTTAGCAATATTCCAACTATATGACGGCGGTCTGTAAATAATCGAGTGGGGACCAGACAATCGAGTGATTGATATCATGAGGACGTGGATCCACGCAATCCACCTATTCTATTCTACCCCGGAATCTCCACGCAATTGGGATACGATGACATGTATCAAACAAGTCAGCTAGCCTGACCACCCGATCCCGTTAGCCGCCTTTTACGGCAAGCATAGTCGCCTTTTAGGTCTTCAGCAACCCGTGCTTGCCGTAAAAGGTGACAATGCTTGTCGTAAAAGCATGCTGACGTGGTTGATGCTTGTCATCGATCCCAAATGCGTGGATCGATGCTCATGATATCAGTCACTGGATTGTCTGGTACAGACTCGATAATTTACAGACCGCCGTCATATAGCTGGAATATTGCTGAGGTCGGCGTTAAACAACAAACCAACCAACCCAGCCTTTCACGGCAAGCATGGGTTCCTGAAGACCTATTCTACCCCGAATCTTCACGGGTCGTATGTATAAGAGAGAGAAGAGAGAGTGTATCTAAATGTCATTCAATGACTTAACAGTATGTAAAGTCTGCAAGTATTGAACTCCTACACACCTTCACTAAATATTACAGCATTTAGCAACTAAACGAATTTTGGACACAAAGTTTCTGATAGTTAAGACACTAAGCACATATGAATGACAATGCTAAATTATGTAGGTCAGAAGAAATAAGACATCGATGTTTACTGGTGGCTGAAATGAATGACGTTAAGTTTGTAGTGTTTCAGCGACTGTTTTCAGCCAATAAAGATTTTGATAACTTTTGTAATTATTGGGTCAAATCAAATTTTCTTTTGCCCGGCATTTTTAACTTCTGTTATTGTCTGTTGGTGTGTTGCTACCAATGACAGACATTATTGAAGGCTCTGTCCAGGATGTTAAAGTACCGTAAATATATTGTCCCCCTGTGTGACACGTAATCCTATCATAATCAATGTAACTATCATCAACCAGTGTTTTAAGCCAACTCATTGATGAGTATTTTTTAATATTGGCTAGTATTGTGCACGACCACCAGTGGCTAAAGTGATGACGTAAATCCTGCTGGGGTATCATGCAGGAAGCAGAGGTACTGTAAGTCCCCATGATCCCCAGCGAGGTGGCCTAGCTTTGGTTACTGGTGGCTTATAGCCCGTGTTTTAAACTGTATATATAATATTGTTATTCTCAAATACGTTTCATGAATTGTTTCTAAAGATAGTATGCTCAAATATATTTGCATTAATGACTAAATTGTGTATATATTTACTTGGTCTCGTCGCTATAGGGCTGCGATAATGCCGATGCGACGTTACATTTTAACTCACTCACTCACTTTTGCCCGGCAGTTTTCATCAGTTTTATATAGGAATCATCATGCTTACGACAGGCACAAAATTACCATAATTAAAAGTGGTTTTAAGTTGCATATGTCTGTTACGAATTTATTTGACGTATACATTCTAATATTTCTGATCCTATTAAAATTTAGGATCACGTGAATACCACTTTTATTACTAAAGTTGGTTGATTGGTTGGTTGTTTAACGCCGCACTTAGCAATATCCCAGCTATATGACGGCGGTCTGAAAATAATCTGGACCAGACAATCCAGTGATTAATATCATGAGCACCGATCCACCCAAATGCGATCGATGACATATTACACAAGAATGTACTTATAACATAAGCTTTAATTGCTGTTTTGATCTTGATTATTTGGACAGCATAAAGAGTACATGTACTATTCTGTACTTGACCCAGGGGCAGTTTTATTTACTCTTAAACGAAAAGGGGCGGTCGGGTAGCCTAGTGGTTAAAGCGTTCGCTCGTCACGCCAAAGACCCGGGTTCGATTCCCGACATGGGTACAATGTGTGAATATTGCTGGAATATTGCTTAAAGCGGCGTAAAACCATACTCACTCACTCACTTAAACGAAAAGTAAGTTTTCAGTTTCCGTAATATTGATCCATAACATTTTGAAGCTGGTTATGACTATTGTTCTATTGTTCTATTGTTCTTACACAGCTCCAGTGACAAGAAGCGTTGCGTTCCACGTATCAGCGCCCTATACTGCCAAGGCGGGAGTCCCACTAGAATATCAGTCCATTCTCTACAATGCAGGGTCCGCTTATAACATCACTTCAGGAAAATTCACAGCACCAGTTTCTGGAACCTACATGTTCTGGACGCAGCTTGACATGAACCAACAACGCTCTATGTTGTATGTTAAGATTATGCAATCTGGCCAACTCACGGCCACTGGCTTTGTGCAAACAGGCAATGACGTGTATCAGTCTGACGCTACAGCTGTCGTCGTCAACCACGTCAAAAAGGGCGAGGAAGTGTGGGTGGAACCAAATGCCTCTAAAGACATCGACAGTAACGACGGGTCCTATTTTGGTGGTGTTCTGGTGTCCGGGTATTCAAATTAACCTTCTTTAATTAACGACAACATGGACATGTCACCTGTCAGTTCGTCCTTCCATGTAAGACTTTTCATTTTGTCAGTGTGGAATAAAATATGAATATTTTAAGACGAACTGTTGAATCTTTTTTTATGCTATCATTCTTTCATGATATGTGTCTGAGTGTGTAGCAATGTCTTCATCTGCGCAGTTCGCAGAGGTCTTGGAGTGGCTCTGTCATGATCCGCTGTTTTTTTGTTTGTTGGTTGGTTGTTTAACGCCGCACTCAACGCTATTTGGATACGATGACATGCATCAACCAAGTCAGCGAGCCTAACCACCCGATCCCGTTAGTCGCCTCTTACGACAAGCATAGTCGCCTTTTACGGCAAGCATGGGTTGCTGAAGACCTATTCTACCCCGGATCTTCACGGGTCGAGAACTCAATAGAAGACCACTTTATTGTAGAGACCGTAATACAAGATTTGAAGATATTTTCAGCAAAAGTAAGTTGGAATTACTGTTTACATTTGCCTAATTTTCATTAGACGGGTTGAAACAGGTGTCGATACTGTAAATTAAAGCGATACAACACTTTCGTTGATCATACGAAATCTCTTTTGTATGAATCCGACTATATTTGAAGGAGACGTTATGAATCAGTTAAATAGTGTCGATACCTGTTCGATAAAAGGCGATACCCGCCATGAACACATGCAAAGGCAAGTCAAGTGTTCACCTTAAAAGAACGGGGAAACATATGGTCAAAATAGGGACATCGGTTTAGTCTCTGATGCATAAAATTTGAAAATATCACCCACATGTCTGCCATCAAGAAAAAATAATTGACGTATTTCTATTTTCGTTTTAAAACATTTATTTGAGACCTACTGTCAGTATGTAGGTTACAGTTTGGCAAACCTGTGACAGAAAGTATGAACAACAACACACAATATGGCCATGAAGCCAAGTCGCCTGACCATCCAATCCCCATAGGTCAAGACAGATAATCACAATGTAGACCCTACACTAAAGTACTCATGGAAATGAAAAAAACCCTGTTTTGCTGGATTTAATAATCGACACAAAGCATTACGTAAGCAATACGAAATAACAAAACAACTGGAAAAGCACTAGTCTGGATTTGCTAGTTTTATCTCGGTGCTCAATACAAAATGTACTTTACAGGAGGTAATTTGTAGGCACTTTCAACCTTCAAAAATAAAACTAATTGACATGGCAGAAACAGGCTATAGGCATTTTGCAAATTAGCCTGGAAAAAAAGTTATCAAAACAACAATGATAATAACAACTATGTTTATGTACATAATAATAATGACATGTAAGTTGTTGTTTGAGAAGGGAATATGTTACTTTACGTTCTGATATTTTGACGATGATTCACTATCCCACAATGCCACTCACAAATCACTAACCACTGACAAAACACATGCACGTGGGTTTCAAGCACCTGTTTTCACCTGTCGTCAAGGTGTCATAGGTCATGGACATTCACCTTACCCAATATAACGGAACACAGAAATAATACTGCAGTATCTATCATTTGAAAGTGTATTACTGTGCAGTCCAACAATATATGATGACGTCTCTAGTAAAGGGTGTGCACTAATAATAAAGATCAGGGGTAGAATAGGTCTTCAGCAACCCATGCTTGCCGTAAAAGGTGACTTTGCTTGTCGTAAGAGTTGGCTAACAGGATCGGGTGGTCAGGCTCGCTGACTTGGTTGATGCAGGTCATCGATCCCAATTGCGTGGATCGGTGCTCATGATATCAATCACTGAATTCTCTGGTCCAGACTCGATCGCCGTCATATAGCTGGAATATTACTGAGTGCGGCGTTAAATAACAAACAAACAGACAAACTTGGTCAGTCTATCGGGTACATAGATTTATATACAGGTGCAACAATTAAGACACTTGCTCCTGTCCTATTTACTTTGAGGAATCTTCAGTTTTATAGAGAACGTCTGTGTATAAGTTATTCTCAAGGCATGATTAATTATATCTCAGTCTGGCATCACTCTCATATGAGTACAATGAGAAGAATGAAACGAAGTCATGTCATCACACTGAAAACCATAGTTACAGATAACTGTCTTACGTTTGTCGTTTAGCTACGTTATGTAAACATGACACTTTCGTAAATATATTCGTAAGTGCACAACCACTTGACACTTATCGGCGATGTGAGCTTATACTATGGGTCGATGTCCATGTACGTTCGCGACACTTAAATAACTTCTCCTCATGAACATTGAACTCACGTGTTACTTTGCCAATTGGCAGCCGAGTGACATGGGGTTACACGTTTTCTTGATATTTGACCAAACATGTCTAGATGATTTCAGTATCTGGGGTGTTGTTCACTTACTCTGAGTCTGATAGGGGAGGCACGGGTGGCCCAATCGTCTAAGGCGCCGTGATTCGCTGTGCAGAGTTGCGTCCCTTGGGCACGCCAGAAACCTATGATTGTTGGTTGAATCCCGGTTCGCCCCGATTATGTTTCTAGGTTTGTCAGCGCCATACCCGTGCTCGTGGGTTTCACCGAAGTGGTAAACGTCTGAGACCTGCATCACTTCGGGCTTTCCTCCCTCATTAAGCTGACACGCCGTGATATAACTGGAATACTGTTAACAGCGGCGTTAAACACAACTCACTCACTCAGTCTGATAGTCATATTCTGAAACCGTAGTGATATCTTGTATAAGTATGGTTACTCTCCAATGCTGAACTAACCATGAAAAGTGGACTCAATTGAAAATTGAATGAATTGATATATTGTTTCAATAAAGTGAGTGTGTTCAAGTGGCCGACGTACTACTCGCATTAAGGTTCATTTTCACGTACGTTTACTTTGTAGTTAAAAGTGAGTGAGTGAGTGAGCTAAGCGTATGCCGCTTTTAACAGTGTTCCAGTTATATCGCAGGGTATCAGCTTAATGTGGGAGGAAAGCCCGAAGTGATGCAGGTCTAAGACGTTTACCACCTCGGTGAAACCCAGGAGCACGGGTATGGGGCTGACACAACTGGAGACATAATCGTTGCGAACCGGGATTCGAACCCACAATCCTAGGTTTCTGGCGAGCTCAAGGGACGCAACTCTGCACGGAGAGTTGCGGAGACTTAGACGACTCATCTTTTGGCTTTTAAAGTCAGTTAACTCTCTTGCCTCGGGAAGATGTACACGACTGGGCTACTTGCGACCACTTTTACTTATCAGCATTTACAACCTACAAGTTGTTTTACTGCATGCAATATTTTTAACTTGCCAAAAATACATTATCTCTTGATTTAGATACAGGAAATACTCATTTCACTTATTGATACATCAGTTGATAAATCTAAATAGAAGGCGGAGTTCAACGATCATAGGTTTCAGGCGAGCCCAAGGGACGCAACTCTGCACAGCGAATCGAGGCGCCTCAGGCTACTGGGCCACACATATCAGGAATATTGCTGACAAATCATTCCATAAAAAATGCCTGCAAAGTTTTCATTTCGTATGTTTTACATGTTTGTTTATATTCTGTTAATATTGTTTCCTCTCTTCCTGCTAACAGGGGCGGTCGGGTAGCCTAGTGGTTAAAGCGTTCGCACGAGTATCCATCTGCACGAATGAACGCACACATGCACGCACGCACGCACTCACGCACGCACACACGTCCTTTTATTATCTTCACCAAGACGATAAACCTCATTTAACATCCTCTCATCTATTGATGTTGTTCTGGGAACAATGTAGTAGCCTAGTGGTTAAAGCGTCAGCTCGTCACGCCGAAGACCCGGGTTCGATTCCCGACATTGGTGCAATGTGTGAAGCCCATTTCTGGTGTCCCCCGACGTGACATTGCTGGAATATTGCCAAAAGCGGCGTAAAACTATACTCAGTCAGTCAGTCCTGCTAACAATATTGGATTGCAAAGACACACATCACTCATTCCTATCCCTGCTACAAAAATAAAACTCACTGCTGGTTATTTTCATTTTCGGATAGATATTTTGTGAGCAACTGCTATGGACGTTATCAAACGCTTACAGCTTCTTAAATTCATCGTTTTGGAGGAGACGTCGAAAATAACAGAAATCAAGACAAATACAACAATAGTCACAATATATTATTTCATTTCACACACAATTTACACTCCTTTTCATATCGCTGCGAAAAGCTACAAGACTGTTGATGCGGCGTAAAACAATACTCAGTCCATCACGCCATTTCATACGTTCCTTCTCCTGTATCGCGAAATAGTGTGGCGATACGTTCGCGATAGTGCCGTGAAGCTACAGCTGGGGTGGTGCATTTGTAGCGGATAAGTGACGCGAGAATGGCTCAAAAGTGACGCGACAGTGCAGCAAAGGTGTGCGTAGGTGAGTGAGTGAGTGAGGTGGATTTAAGGCAGTTTTGACCAGTATTCCAGTCCTATCACAGCGTGTCAACTTAATGTGGGAGGAAAGCCCGAAGTCATGCCGGTCGCGGCCGTTTACAACTTTGGTGAAACCCACGAAAATCTACAATTGGTGCAACAATGCTTTCGATCCTCTTATGTCGTACGCTAAACCCCCCCCCCCCCCCCCCCCCCCCCACACACACACACACACACGCCCACTCCATCCACACACACACATCCAACTCCGCCACCACACCGCAAATCCAGGGCACTCAAGTTCAGATCCAAAAATCTCGCCAGAAACCTATGATTGTGGGTTCGAATCCCGGTTCGCCCCGATTATGTTTCTAGGTTTGTCAGCATCATACCCGTGCTCGTGGGTTTCACCGAAATGGTAAACGTCTCAGACCTGCATCACTTCGGGCTTTCCTCACACATTAAGCTGACAAGTAAATAATGAGTTGCCTCGCCTAATTCGGCTTACTTTAATCAAGCGGATGCGAGGTCAGGCAGTCAGGTTTTATGACTCCGTCTAGCATAGTTACTCTCGGGATCGGGATCTCCCCATACTTGAAGTTAGGGTGAATTAAAAAATAAAGTCCTAATGGTTGACAGGGAAGATATTGACAACTGAATATTTCAAGGATAAGGAGGTGGGGGTTGGGAGCACAGGTTGTTGAGATAAGGGATTAGCGACGGCGGTAAGGCTGTGGTTGTGTT